GAATTTAATTGATAATCTTACAATGTTATTGTACTTATTATTTCAAATCAAGTTCAGGAATTCAGCGTAAAATATTTTTCCATAGTTGAATCACAAAAAGTCAATATAAATAGCTTTCCAAAAAGAGTCATATTGTTGAATAAATAATGCTGAATATTTAATTTCAAACTTATTAAATTCCACGACCAAACAATGCAAACATAACATCATATCAGTTAAAAAACACATTTATTCTTTTTTCACATTAAAATGAGTCAACAAATTTCCACAAACATATAATTGTAATTAAATGCTCCTCATTGATAGCGAACACACGATACGAATAACAAAAATACAATTGTATGAATTAAATAGGACACACTGACGCAATGAACTTTATTTGATTAATTTAATATCCTATTGAAAGCAGTGGCACAAGTTAACTATTTATTTGCTCATGAGAGATAAAATATTGAAGAGAGAATACAGCATGGACGAGACCATGGACTTTCAACACCACATATAGTGTAAATAAAATTAAATCAGTTCTGCTTTCATCGAACTCATTCAATAAATAAAACATTTAATCTTATTAGCAACCATACGGCACTTTCAATACACACATGGTTGGGCTATGTGCGAATTGCTTATAATAAGCAATGGCCTTTTTTGTTGATATACACCCACAAATGTCCAATAAAAATGAAATAAATTTGAATTGGATGGGATTCACTTCTTTTTGATGTTCTACATGCTGAATATGTATTAAATGAACATCATTATTTTGGTAATAGCTGAGCAAATAATGCAAATTTGACATGTTATTGAGCCGCGAGCGACGTAAAGTCTGTGAAAAATTCGACATGCAACTAGTTCTTCTTATTCTGTCAGAAATAATTTTTTTCGAACATTTTCAAACATTTTCTGTACTTAAAATTCATAAGAAAGTTCTCTGATCTGTCAAGAACGGGAAACTTTTAACATGCACGAATGTGAGTGACTTTAAAACATGAATATTCTCCTCTCGTATATCCCTTACATTTTCTTAAGCTTGCATGCACGCGTCTGAATCTTGGGTAGTGACTAGTCGATAAGTCGCCATTAGCATCAAGATAAGAAAATCATGCCCTTTATTGCAGAGAAAGTTTGGAAGTTTTGCAAACCAGTAAGTGTTTGAAAATTGGAATTTTGAATCACAACAGATTTCACATCTTTAACGTACATTTATAATTTAAATGAGAATAAAACATTTGTAAGGTTTTTGAATAACCAACAGACTGTTGAAGGGTTTTAAAAGATAAAAATGCTATTATAATAGCTTTGCCCAACAACCAGACAATCCTTTCTCTCCTCATTCCATACGATTGAACCATTGCACACATAATACGACAAAATGTGCATAAATGCACATAATCAAAAATAAATATGGTATGAGGGTAAGAGAAGTATTTGCACACGAGCTGTTGAAGAATGAAGGAAGAAACATTTTCTGCTTTATATTGCAAAACTTGCGAATATACATTATGAAAAGAAAGGAACATAAAATGAAAAGAAAACTTTCTCATGCACGAAATTGAAATAACGAAAATTGTTTATAATTTTTTTTTTCCTTTTTCACTTCCACAAAAAAATAAAGAAATGAAATCTTCAAAATTGTGCTTATAAAAGAAATGTTTATCAAAATAATTTATTTATTTTTAATGAAATTAAGGAAGAGCACTAAATGAAGAAGAAGAAAAATCATGAGTCATTGGAAAAGCAACAATTTTGATGATGATGCTGTCTGATTTTTTGCTGTACGTAATAAAAATTTCAATAGAAATGGAACTGACTATTCTCTTTTCGTTTGTCCATTCATGTTTTTTTTTTCTTTCTTAAAATTGCTTTGGGGTCGTCCTTTAGTGACGTTTAAAACATAATTTATCATAATACATTCATTTGTAGAGAATTAAAAACAGCTATGGACCCCAAATTCTATTATTTAAATACATCCCTCATAACAATCATCGTTTACAGAACTTCAAATGAGCCATGAAACACTTGTATCTTTTGACTCGAAAGACATGACAAAGTTGATATTGGTCATGCTTTGCTCTCCCTGGTTTAACAAATAACAAAACCTGAAGGGGATATTAAGCAAACAATTGAGAACATTTTAAAGAATCTTTTATAAAAAAAAAACTTCGAGTGTTCCTTAATGCTTTTCAATTGGTACCAAAAAAATTATTTGAACAATTTTCGAGTTTCCTGACATTCTTTTACTGTCTATTTATTTAACTGCCTTGAAAAGATCATCCAAAGTATGCATAACATACATTCTTTTCTGAATTTTCAAATGCTAGAGCTTTAAATGTGGTCGAGTAATGGTCGTGGCTTTTCTTTTCGAAAATTTTACATCGCTTTAAGCTCCAGTTTTCATTAAATCATAGAGAGTGTGAATAAGAATATTTAATAATTCATGTGGCATTTTAAAATAATGAATTTTTCAAACTTACTTTGCAAAACTGGGTGGAATTTTAATTTTCCAACTTGATTAGAATGCATGAATTTTTTAACATCTCTAACGCTGAAAGTGTATTTTTACGGTGCTGTTGGAGTTAAGGTGCTCTTGATAACTATTTTACACTTTGTTTTAATACAATATTTAAAAAAATTTCACCTTTTTTATACTTTAAAAGGTTTTAGACATTGAGAGAACTTTAAATTTATAAATTAAGTTAATATTTTCCATTTTTACAGAACTGGATCTTTCTATTTATAAAGTTCCAGATAATTCCCATAGGATGATAAATGCTAACTAGCATGAAGCTTAACTTACTGCAATTTTAATGAAAATCAAACTTTTATTTTTGTAAACAAAGATTTTAATTTTTTTAATTAAAAACTCATTTTCAACCTTAATTAAGCTTTATATAGCTACTTGTTTAAGATATAGACCCTCTCAAATCTTAAACTTCTAGTTCCTCCTTTAAATCTCATTTCCGATTTTACAGACTTGAAGTTTCCTTACAAAAAAATTAATTCATGAATTTCATTATATTTACGTTCACAATGGATTGAACAATAGCTTTTGTAATTCCTTCAACTTCTTTTTTTGCACAAATAAGCGGAATAAATTTTTACACAAACTTCCGCTGTAGTCTGGTAAATTTCTCAATGAGTAGTAACTTTTCATAAAATCCAAAAAGGGTGGAGAAAATCCACTTTAGAATTAAGTCAAAAGAAAACTCGAAGCTCGAAAGGATTTTATGGAAGAGAAATTACAATGTTTGAGTTCCCATAAATCTACATTTTCTCCTTTCTCTTCCATTTATTTGTTGAATTATGGACGACTCAATTTTTATGTACTTTTATATCTTTTCTTCTTGAGAGCGAAACTTATTTTTATGTTTCAATATTTTTTTTATCAACGTCACTTCACCATTTATTTTGTCCACGTTTCTAGCATCTGATCCCACATCGTCTCCAACTTTTTGTGTCACTGATGAATCCAGTTTGTCTCAAATTCCCATGAAATCTTGTTTTTAACACAATATCCCAAAGGGATAAGTCTGCACTTTTATTCGTGCTTTGTCTGTTCGTCTGTCATGTAAAGCAAAGGATTTTTGTCATTGAAACGTCACTAGATTGTCAAACATTGAGATTTTTAATGAGAAATGCGCCCTAGTTGCACACATGACCGTTTCCATAGTTTGCTGATTCTAGTCTTCATTTTTGGAAATAACAAACTTTCTGTGTCTTATTAAATAAATTTTTGTAAAGGAAACTTGAGAGAAAGTCTTTGAATATATAATGAGTACAAACTTTTATCTTCTGCTTCCAAAACTTCCTTTTCAATAAACTTCTACGCACTTCTGAATAAAGGCAAAAAATTACTTGACATTCATGAGACGGCAGTCATTTTAATATCTTCCAAATTCTAGTCAACTTCACTTCCAGCAAATCATAAAGTTTACTTTAAAATTTGTAACCCAAAACTTCCCCCCCCCCCCCCCCCCCCCCTTTTGCGTAGCCAGCGTAATCACTTTGCATGTTTTAGAAGCGTCGACATGTGTCGTATGTCACATAAACTGACACTTGAATTGCTGTATATCTCTGTTGTTGTGTTTACTTTAGTTGGTATTTTTAACACTTCAATGTTGTTCAAAGTTTTTGTGAGATGAAATATTGCTTAATTTAGCATTTTTGACAGTCTAGACTCTAGAGTAAACCAGATAACGTAGCAGATAATTTTTGCGATTGTTTACTTGGAATAGATTATTTAATTTTTAATGAGGTGTAATTTTGGAGAGTATTTGTCAGTGAGTTACTATTTAAAAACTTGATTTTGGAATACTTCAAGCTAAATGACGATTTGAAGCAATTTGAAGATAATGAACTCTTTGGATTTTAAGTGAGAATGCAAGAAAGTGTTAGGATTTTTCGGTTTTAATTTCCAGCGTATGTTTTATGTTTTAAGCATAATAAGCTATTAAAGAATTTAAAAACTAGCAAGCAACCGGGAGCAACCTGAATACTTTACTTGAATAAAAAGTTCGTGTGGTGCTTTGAAGCTATAAAGTTCTAACGAAAGTCTCTAGACAGACAACATATGACAGTCACCAGGACATATTAATTTTATTCGAATTACTCAAGAAATTTCTTTGAAAGTGCTCAAATGTTTCCATAGAAATAAAAATAAATCTTGCAACCCCCCCAACCCCCCTATTATTTTCAATTTCTCAAATACAGGAACAAACAAAATATAAATTTTTCAAGAGACAACATCCACAAGTCTTACAGGAAAGAGAGACGACAGAAAAAAGTTTTGACTTCGTGTTTCTCTTAAGACGCCTTCGAAAAATGATTTTTTTTTTTCATTTTTTTCACACTACCGGAAAGCAGGAGGGTAAGAAATAAATAAAATGCTGTAGAGAGCTTTTCGTGCTGGGAAACATGAAAATAAATATTTTTGAGGTATAAAATAAAATGAGAAACTTTTCAACTCTGTTATTTAATTTCTTACACTTCTGCTTCTTAAAATGGAATTTCGTGAAAATCAAAACACTTGTGGTGGATTAAACTTGACTCTATACCCAATTTATTTGCAGTCAGGATTATCAATTTCAAAAGATTCTTATCGGTGAGGGGAAATTGAGACGCAAAATAAAAAGCTATTATATTATTTTTAGACATCTAAAGTCGAGTGATGATCGTGATAAGGAACAAGTGTTGACTTTGTTCGATTCAATATTTAGAAATTAATTAGGATTGCAAGACATGTCAGCTACAGCTTATGTAACTTTTTAGTATCATGCAACAAATTATCTTAAATGGATATCTATTAATATCTTGCTGCGGTTTCCATTAATCTTGTATCATTTTCCAGCAAAATAGGAAAGTAGATCACAAAACAGTTTTGGCTGCATGCAGATGAAGGATTTTTGTGGATATATCCTGTGAATTTTAGACACTAGCTCTCTTTAATACTTTAGTTCTACAGCTCCAGACTGATTTTCAACTCACAAATGTTGTGAATTAAAGAAATGACCCAATAATCTAAATGTCACCCCTTAATATACCTCTGATAGTGAACTTACTTGTAAACAGAAGACCTTTATTGGACATAAGTAATTATGAACTGTCATTATCATTATTTATTCGAATTCCTAATAATTATTGTATAAGATGAGTTGTGTGAGATATGAAATATTGGATTCTTGTTTTTGACTTTATCACTTAATAGATTGATATATTTCTGGACAAGACACTGAATAACACAAATTACACTTATCACATAGATTTAAAAAAGGTTTAATACTTACATTGAGTGTTTTTAAATTTATTTTATGGATTTTACTGAGTTTAAAGTTTTTAAATGATTACTAAGATTATTATTTTTTTTATAGAAATTTGAAAATTTTTGATTATAATCTTAAAGTTTTTTGAAACATTAAAAAACCAATTTGAAGCAAAAGCTCAAAATTATTATACAAGAATTTAATTTTAAATCTGTTGAAAATAAACATTTTTCAGCCAAAATAAACAAATGTTGCAGTTAAATACTCGCTAAGTAAGCAAAAGCAGAAGTCTACAGAAATATATCAACAAGAAACAGCAAAAAAAAAGTGATAAGATAAACAGCAGTTAACAAAGTTTCCTTAACAATTTTCCATTAATTCGCAAACAATTGTTAAGTCGAGACATAAAAATAATAGGGCTCTTTGCCAAGAGCACTTCCATCGGTATTAATCCTTCTGTTTATCATCACATTTTCACTTTCATTTGTCTTCCTTATACGCTCTATTTTGGTGATGATATCAGACATGACATGAATCAATAATAAAACAAAAGAAATGAGGAATCTTGTGGCTTGAATTCGTTCACATATGTGTGTGTCATTTATGATGATTTTCAAAATAGATATCCCACATAATATTAATAAACTGGTAGACATTAAGGTACAAAACTATATTTTCTTATATGTATGCACTTAGTGGAATGGAAAAGGAAGCGAGGAGTGGTAAGATGTGATTGACAGAAGTATGAGTTTTCGTTCATTACGTCTTTTTTACTAGCAAGATTACTAATTACATAACCTAGCGTAGTTAACAACTAGTGTAACTTAAAAATTCAATATATAGTCCTATAGATATAATATGAGTAACCAGAACATGATCTTAGTACCTTTTCAAATACATACTATTTTTAAACTAGACTAAGGCTAAAGTACACTTTCATATCTAGGTCTTCTAATGGACGAAATTGATGAACAACCCCAATGAATCGCAATTTCTTGATATTCAGATACCGTTTTTCGCTGACTATTCCAATACTCCCTATTTCTTGTTCATTCTTAATGCCAAATATTCGATTGAATATTGTTTGGAAATAAGAAAAAAAAATCTATAAAAGAAATTGATTCAACCCACATGTTTGCATGCTGGTAAAAATATTTTTTTGTAAGGTAATTTTAGCCTACATTTTTCGATAGACAGCACAAAAAAATCTTTCAATTGAACTTTTATAGCTTCAAGGTGATTTAAATCCATGACAATCTTGATATTAAAGTACGTAGGTATAAAGATGCATGACGAATGTAGTTCGAATTTCTTCACTTCCCACACATACACATGACAACATTTTAAGATATTAATAATAATTTATCACATCCACTCACCTGATTGTCAGTAAAATCTTGCTGATGCTGTTGATGATGTTCCTTTAAATTCAGAAAAGCTTGCGTTAGTGGTAAATTGGTGCCACGAAAATCATTTGTCTGCAAATATGGAATGTGATATGATGTAGAAAATGTTAAGGTGGATGGAAGGAGTAAGGGTGGATAAGTGGATGATATTTGCATTTTACACTTTTTTGCGACTGATACATTATTGAAAATCTATTGAGAATTTAGGGACACGTAACAATTTTTGAAGAATTTCAACGGATTTTTAAAAATTTGAATTTTTAAGTAAAATTGAAATTTTAAACTTAAAAAATACGTTAAATTTTGAACTTTAAATAAAAGGGTTAGAAAATTCAAATCTTTGAAATGAATAAGTTTAATAAAGATTCTCAGATAAACCACAACAGAATAGCCAATTTATCTTATGAAGTTGCGTCAAAAAGGATGATGGAGGGTGGGAAATAAAGCTCAAAGATTTAAGTGAAGGATGAAATATTAGATGAGATTTTGAGTCCATTAGTAGGAGTACATATGTGGAATATGAAATAAATTCTCATCACATGACATGGATAATGTAGCCATTATTTAGGTCAATTCATATTACTGTTAAGTGTATTTCAATGATGAATCTAGTCCATGTACATTTCACATGTGAATAAACTAAATCCGTTTCAAGATGCAAGATGTATGTCTGAATGCAATTTTACTTACATCTGTCAACTTGATGGAATTTTCTTGCTCCCATTTTGAAGCAATAAGTAATGTTTCGGCAGTTTTTTGTTGAACTGTTTTCGATTCATCTAAAAGCGTTAGTTCGTAAAATTCTTGAATATCTGTAACGAGAAAATTCCATCATTAATTTATGATTGGGTAATAAAATATTTATTTTTTATGAGTTCTGCAAAATTATTTATCTTTGAAAATTTCAATTTGCTTTTTCTCAAGCATTAATGTGTGGGCTTATAATTTAGGTACCACACATTATCGTTGGGGGGTGGAAAGTCTGCAAGATGAAAGAAAAATCTTGTATTTTTCTTTAAATTTCCACATGTTGAGTTATCTAATCAGCAATTTTTTTCAATCTCTTAATTTTCTTTATGACTAAATTATTGATCCAAGTTGAGATATTTCCATCAAATCCTTTCATATCCATTAACTCTAACAAGATTACCAAATTTATGAGATATATTTCATTGGTTTAATAAGAGACAAGTGCTCTCGATTGAGTTTTCTTCATTTAAATCCAAGGTTTGAGTTAAGAATTCAAATCTTAATTTACAAAATTATCCATTTAGATGAGCATAATATTGACTTTTCGTACTATTATTGACAAATCGAAACATGAATAAAAACTGCAAAATTAACAAGTTGAAAAGTTTCAAACTTTTTTAATATTCGAAATTTGAAATTCTCTCTTTTTTTTTAAGAAAGTCAACGTCCTCATCGAGAGCATCAAAGTGACAAGAAGATAATGAAGGATGAAATTGACGTCACAGCTATAATTTCCATTAAGTTCATTATTCAAATTCTTCAAAAATGTGTGTAGCTTTATTTTACCGAATAATTAACCTTCATATGAGATTATATTTATTTTGTATCGTGTCTATCAGGAATATGAACATGATACAGATAAGATGTAATGCTGAAAGAATGATATAACCTTGAGGAATTAAGGATAAATAAAAGCACAGTAATGAAGAAGTTATCAAAATGAAAATGAATCTCATGTTTTTTGGTTTTCATGATTCTCATTACATTTAATTAACTCCATTAACATCTACATGATACGAAGGTTGGTAGGTATTTCCAAAACATTTCGAAATCCTCGGAAATTTTCATAAAATAAAATTTTGCTCTTAGGGGCCGTTCACTTATTACGTTCGCATTTTAGGGGGGAGGGGGGTTTGAAAAATTGTAACAAAAAGTTACAAAGGGGAGGGGGGGTCAAGAAGTATGTAATGTTCTAAATGTCGTCTGTCTTAAAAAAAAGTTCACGAAAAAAATTTGTTTACAAATTCACACCAAAAACATTTTTAAAAAAATAAAATAAATTATGAACGTTCAGAGGGGGGGGGGGGTGAGTTGTAACGTATTGTAACAAGGGGGGGGGGGGGAGGGGGGTGAAAAAAGTCGTTTTTTTGCGTAACGTAATAAGTGCACGGCCCCTTAAGATTTGATTTGATTAAATTAATGATACGAATGAAATTCTTCTTCATTTACATAAAAGTAAATCAACATCTGAGGTTTATTATTAATCGTTTCTATCTATAATGTGATGGTTTCTGCGTATATAATATCAAAGATATCATGTGAAAAGTGTAGTGCTTCTTATTTGTTGGGTTTTCTTCATTTTTTTTTTTCTTTTTCAATTCGGATCTTTTGAGAGAAACACAAGATTTTAAAGTGTCAAGCATTAATTTCGGATGGTTTTGAGATGATAATAAAATACTTTATAAAAAAAACTTTTTAAAAAAACTACGTTTTTCGCGTAGACTAAAAAGTAGAAAATAACTTTTATTCTTGGTTGTAAAGAATTTGGTTTTAAATTTTCAGATTATATTTAATAAATTTTTATATCCTAGTCAATATTGTTCACAAAGTTTCGAATAAGTGCACTTTGATCTTATCGTATAACTCAACAACTTAAAAACGTGGGCGCATTATTAGAGGAGAAATAAGTTTATGTGAAATCAATACTTTATGATAAACTTAAATTAATGCGCCCACGTTTTTAAGTTGTTGAGTTATACGATAAGATCAAAGTGCACTTATTCGAAACTTTGTGAACAATATTGACTAGGATATAAAAATTTATTAAATATAATCTGAAAATTTAAAACCAAATTCTTTACAACCAAGAATAAAAGTTATTTTCTACTTTTTAGTCTACGCGAAAAACGTAGTTTTTTTAAAAAGTTTTTTTTATAAAGTATTTTATTTTCTACTTTTTAGTTTTATTCTAATGAAATAGAGAAATAAAGATTATAGAGGGTTCATAGGTTACAGGTGTGTTGAACTCCACTTCGTTTCACTTCGTTACGTTCAACTGTTTATAGATTACAGGAGGTTTATAGGTTACAGGTGTGTTGAACTTCACTTCGTTGCACTTCGTTACGTTCAACTGTTTATAGATTACAATAGGTTTATAGGTTACAGGTGTGTTGAACTCCACTTCGTTGCACTTCGTTACGTTCAACTGTTTATAGATTACAATAGGTTTATAGGTTACAGGTGTGTTGAACTCCACTTCGTTGCACTTCGTTTCGTTCAACTGTTTATAGATTACAGTAGGTTTATAGGTTACAGGTGTGTTGAACTCCACTTCGTTTCACTTCGTTACGTTCAACTGTTTATAGATTACAGTAGGTTCATAGGTTACAGGTGTGTTGAACTCCACTTCGTTTCACTTCGTTACGTTCAACTGTTTATAGATTACAGTAGGTTCATAGGTTACAGGTGTGTTGAACTCCACTTCGTTGCACTTCGTTACGTTCAACTGTTTATAGATTACAGTAGGTTTATAGGTTACAGGTGTGTTGAACTCCACTTCGTTGCACTTCGTTACGTTCAACTGTTTATAGATTACAGTAGGTTCATAGGTTACAGGTGTGTTGAACTCCACTTCGTTTCACTTCGTTACGTTCAACTGTTTATAGATTACAGTAGGTTCATAGGTTACAGGTGTGTTTAACTCCACTTCGTTGCACTTCGTTTCGTTCAACTGTTTATAGATTACAGTAGGTTTATAGGTTACAGGTGTGTTGAACTCCACTTCGTTGCACTTCGTTACGTTCAACTGTTTATAGATTACAGTAGGTTCATAGGTTACAGGTGTGTTGAACTCCACTTCGTTGCACTTCGTTACGTTCAACTGTTTATAGATTACAGTAGGTTCATAGGTTACAGGTGTGTTGAACTTCACTTCGTTGCACTTCGTTACGTTCAACTGTTTATAGATTACAGTAGGTTCATAGGTTACAGGTGTGTTGAACTCCACTTCGTTGCACTTCGTTACGTTCAACTGTTTATAGATTACAGTAGGTTCATAGGTTACAGGTGTGTTGAACTCCACTTCGTTGCACTTCGTTACGTTCAACTGTTTATAAATTACTCCACTTCGTTGCACTTCGTTACGTTCAACTGTTTATAAATTACTCCACTTCGTTGCACTTCGTTACGTTCAACTGTTTATAAATTACCAGTTTTCAATGGGAAATTAGTAACGACTTTCAAAATTTTTCATTCATTTTATAAAATTTAATTTTTTTAAAGCATTCATTAGTAAAGTACATTAAAAATCACTCGTAAAGATTTTGTGTTTATCTGTACCATTTCTACTTCATAACGTGTGGATTCTTAACATAAAGATGCAAATCACATCTATATGTAACGTATTTATAACGGATTTTCAAATTTAAATTCAATGAATATCATTTATATGTTATGCAAAAATACGTCAAACCGTTAATAAAAAGAAAAGTCAATTTAATTAAGTTGGTGAAGTGTTATAAATAATGCAATACATTTAAAACAGCATAAATTTATGCTCAAACTTTGTGTGCTAAATGCACATCGCATATTAATAGTTATTTTGCATTAATTCGTAACGGACCTGTGCTTAACGGTTTTTTTGAAAATTCAAATATTCACTTACGAATATTCATGAAAAAATTACTTGTCAATTTTTTTGTCTTACCAGAATATCTTTAGCTGCTCAAATTTATGGTATAATTAATAATTAGTAATATTAATTAAACTATAATGAATCATATAAATGACTTTAGAGCATCAAAAGTATAATATTTAACACAAATCAAAATTTTATATCATTGACATTGGATTTTTTCCCATATAAAAAAGTTTTACATAAATTGTACTATAATTAAGCATTTTTGTGTTTCCAAAGTGTTAAAATATTGTATTGTCACCGGGAATACGTGTGCATTAAAAATTTAAGCTCGTTTGGAGCAGTAGAAGTGGTCGAAAAATCGATTACAAAAGTACGAAATTTTGCGGACAATCAATCAATCAAACAGATAAGAAAGCAAGTTAAGAAAAACGTAGTAAAATGCATTTCTCAAAAACTTACAATTCTATAATTTAACGATTTTTAAAAATTCTAAATCATTGCACAGGTTCGTGTCTTTGCTATTCAAATTCAAAATATCCGTTAATCATTGGTTTTAAAAGAACAAATTTTTAAAATCAAAAAGTTTAAGTGAGATTAATAGTGTAACTTGCTACTCTTGGGGATTCATCAATCTCTATGCAAATTTAACCATTTGGATTTCGACCTTTACATTTGAGAAAAAAGAATCTTTACCCTTGCCTTGATCGATTTCAATATTATACACTTAAATCCACAAAATATAAGATTTTCAGAAAAAGAGATTTTTTAAAGCTGACAAGCACATAATTTCCATGGAGAAGGCAGCATAAAAACATTTTAAGATATTATTTTCTTATCAAATGAGAAGTTTTTGGATACGCTTTGATCCCCCTCACTCCTAATATTCTTTGATAAAGGAAAATTACTCTCGGTACCTTCACAGTGTCCCCAAAAACAAAACAAAAAGTGTTTACTGATTATTCTTTCCACTTTTCTTCTATTTTTTATTACCAAGATCGTTCCCTTATCAAGTTGCAATTGACAGAAAGGGCGTAATTAAAAGAAATTGCTATACGCATGAAAATTTAATGGCTTTCTTTTTATCCCCTATAAAAAATATACATGTGCCTTGCTAAAGCTTTCTAAAAATAAGTTATTCTTGGAATTGAATAATGAGAATGTGCTCAGTGGATGTCAAGGTTCTTTCATTGTCGAAAATTGTTTGAAACTTTTATTCTTTAATAAAACCCAAATTTCAAACTTTAATTCTGAATTCAACATTGAATCGGCTCATTAGTACATCTTCATGCATCCTGTATCATGGCCTGAATTTGTTCGAATATCTTGTTAGCATTAGATTTGTATAAAGAATGTTAATTAAGGTGGAAATTTTTGAATTTGCGTATTTGTTTTCAAATTATTTGGTTGACAATCGCCTATCACAGCCAAGGGAAGCGTGGAATTTGAATTTGTAAAGCTGTTAAAAATCATCTTCAAATTTTTTTCTTTCTTACTGAAAAGACTTCCTTAAAAACTGTATAGCGTATCCACAATCATTGATTTCGATTAAGGATGTATGTCACCCGCAGCACTTCATAGGATAATGTAATCATCATTATTAAATATATTAAAGATTTATCAAGAGCGCATGAAACTGTGCATATACAAGCTTTGTGCATTAACATTGTAGCAATAATTGAGAGATAGCGGTAAAGTCGTGAGTGCTGAGCATGCAAATGGAATTTTGCAAATTTAAAAATTAATTGACGAGATGCTAGAGTGGTTAATAGGTTGGACTGCTAAATTGGAAAAAGGGTAGTAATCCAATGGGCTCTGCCCGCGAGAGTCCGAATCTCTCTCTCGTCGTTTTGTATCCTTTTTGCATACAAACATGATTATTTTTAAACTTTTAATTTATTAATAATGAAATACATGGACGTACGATAATCCCAAAAAATACAAGATTAAATACAGCAAATTAATTTGTTATTTATTTTCATTTATTTCCACATGTTGGATATAATTTTTGGTATAACAAAAGAGCATTTAATTACCAGCGATAGCACTTAAATTAGGAAATGGACTTGTCTGTTTAGACACCACAAGCTTATTATGCTGATAAGATATATATCCTTTTAACTTTCCTTCTGCAATTAAATTCGCAACAATACAGTGAGTTTCGTCCATCGTTATGTCTTCTTCACCAACAAATTGGAGAGCATTGAGGAAATTCTGTAAATCAATTTGATGTGTTTGCAGGATGAGATATACTTTCTTAAATAAATTTCTATATGCGATAATTTTGAGCTTCTCGACAATTATATAAATTCCCGTATCGATGAAAAATGCTTCATACTTTTGCATGACTTCGTCAAAATTTCTTACATTGCCTTGCTTCAGGGCAGTGGCAAGCTCATAAAATTGTGGTACTTTGAATTTCTCCATTGTCTCTTTTAATGGCATGTGACCTAGAAGCATTTTAACAGGCACGAGATAAATGAGTATGAGACGTTTATTTTTCCAGTACTTTGTTGGACAGTGATTAAATGCAAAACTGAGATATTCATCGGATGTTTTATAGTCTGAATCGTACATCGCTTTTCTTCCTACGAAATACTTGTAAGTAATTTGTTGTGAGATTGGAAATTGATCCTTAAAGGACAGACTGTCAATGGCTCGTATAAGTGGCTTGCAAAGATGCAATTTATTGATCCGAAAATAAACTTTAAACATTTGATTGACGAGATGAAGCATTCCTATACGTTTTGTGTCCTTCACTTCTGTTCGACTATCTCCAGCACAAATTCTAAAGCATGACATAAGACATTCTGCTGCCTTCTCCATTAAATGACCACGTTTGGCTCCTTGATCCAGCGTCTCACACTTTAAAGCTAACAGTCTGAGATCCATGCATGTTACATACATGATAGGTAAACACCAATTCTCCTCTTTAAGTTCTTGTAGTAGCTTTACGACTGCCTGCACACAAGCCATTTGACATTTATATGCATCGCTAAAATTGGGTGCTAAAAAGTTGATTATTTTATCAGTGCTTTTATTTATTAAAAATTTATATTTATGAACTTACGTGATTCATGCATGTAGTAGAGAGTTCTCAAGTGAGCATTAATAACATCATCCAGCGGCGACTTTACATATCGCGATACTAAATTTTCAGCATCTTCCACATGAAGATTTCTATTGGAAATGTGACTTCCACTTAATGAAATAAATCTTGATATACTGGAACCATCATAGCTATTCCACAATCGTCCAATAGTCGATAAATATTGAATTAAATTCATTTTTAAGCAGCACAAACTGAAAATAAAATATATTTTTATTAATATTGAATTATTTCAAGAAATATACAATTATACTCACTGGATTTAATGCTTATAATTAAAAATGATGTTATTTATCGTCTGCGGTTAGTTTAATGCTTCATAAATTGCTGTTTAATGCGTTTTTCTTAATTTTTTAATATTTTCATTTCAATTTTAATTTTTTGTGGTGAGAATGTGAAACCAAATTTGAAATTATTTTGACGGTTATTATCATTCTCTCAATTCTTCTCATTTCACATTAATTATAGTTTATTCAGGTTGTACTAAATTTGTATTGAATATTCTCTTTTCAAATAAATGCTGTGAAATGAATAGAAAGAGAGTTTTCCTCGATTTTCTTGATGTGTAAATCTGGTTGTATCCAAGCTTATTGCGCACGTTTGGTAATAAAATTTCAAAAACTTTTTCCAACGGATATTTTCACTCAATTTTACTTTAATGCACAGAAAACTTATTTTTTATCAATTAAAATATCACTAAAATTATATCTTCTGCATTTCCATAAAAGGGGCCGTTCACTTATTACGTTCGCATTTTAGGGGGGTTTGAAAAATTGTAACAAAATGTAACATAAGGGGGGGGGGGGGGGTGTCAAGAAATATGTAACGTTCTAACTTTAGTCTGTCTTTTAAAAAAAAGTTCACGAAAAAAATTTGTTTACAAATTCACACCTAAAACATTTTTTAAAATTTTCCACCTTTTTATCAAAATAAAATAAATTATGAACGTTCAGGGGGGGGGGGGTTGTGAGTTGTAACATATTGTAACAAGGGGGGGAGGGGGGTGAAAAAAGTCGTTTTTTGCGTAACGTAATAAGTGAACGGCCCCAAATTGAACAAAACTTTCTTGAAAGTCAATTTATACTTTTTATTACATATGCCTTTGACCCATTTGAGGCTGATTTTTCCACCCTTTCCACTATATCAATTATGACGTTCATCAGTATCATGTAAGTACAGAGAGGGTTTTATAAAGGTTTTTTAAATTGAAATTATATTATATTGGGGAGAGGGGGGATTTTAGCTGTAATAATTATATGCACATTATAACTGAACAACCCCTTAAGCGTCTAGTCATGATATTTATTTTAATGTTTCATTTTTCAAGTTCAAAATTTCGTCTTCAAAAGGACAAGAAATAATTATAGCCTGGAAAACGGTGCGAGAATGCTTAATTAACGACGCAAGATTTTGTCATTAATATTTAAAAATTCCACGTTCATTCTTTACTATTCTTATTTAAACAAAATGAAGATAGACAGTTATAAAACAAAATGGCATCAAATCTGACATGATAGAGAAGAGGACATGACGAGTGTTATTAAATATGCAAAATTCTCCACCTGCCTTGCCTCAAACATATATTTTTATAAACTAAAATATGAAGAATGGAGATGAAGAAGATTAAGGATAAAGAAGATCTAAAACTATAAAAGTTACCACACATGAGGTTTCAGAATTCAGAAAACTTTTTACTTTCCGCCTGTATCTTTTGCTCTACAGGAAAATCAAATTAGCATGGAATCAATTTACAAATTGTAAGAAATATATCCATTTTTGGACATAAGTAATTGAATTACCATGTGGTTCCTTTTTCAAAACAAATTAGCTTTGGTGGACCATTAAATCCAAAGAAACCAGCAGAATCATTCTTTCTACAACTGTGGTTCCTAAAACGACTTGGTCTTTGGGCACCTGATACTGATAATAAATTAATTCAGAAGCTGTACACAGCATGGTCATATTTTTATCGATTCTTTTTCCTCTTTACATATACAACAACACAGATTATGTTCTTTAAGGATGCTGAGAATATGACGGTGAGTAGCTTATGTGGAATCAATTATGTCCGTTAATAATCTTTTTGTGGATTATGAAAAATTGAAGTGTTTCAAATAGAAATGACCGAATTTTATGATTTCGTTCTTATTTTGGGTTGTGTGAGGATTTTAGAGATTCCAGTTCGGTCCGAAATTCAACTTCATTATTCAATAAAAATCATTAATTCACATCCAATTAACATCCAGTAATAAGCAACTTAATCGTGTTATCGCACATAAAATCTAGTTACTAAGGCTCTTAAAAACTGAATCTTCTTCATTGATTGATGACCTATTTCAATTATTCTTATATTTTGTTTCCCATCCACTGTAAAGGATGTTGCCGAGGGTTTCTTTCTATTATTGACACAAATTTCGTTAACTTACAAAGTCGAGATGTTCTATAGAAATAGACATAGAATAAAGGCATGTGAAAAGCTTTTAAGGAGCACATTATTTTGTCCAAAGAATGATGAGGAAGATGCGTGAGTAGTTTCCAAACTTTTTTCTTGTTAATTCGATAAATTTGTCCATGAAATATTTATTAATCTAGAGTAATTAAAGAATCGATGATATTGACTTTTGTGCTAGGAATGGCTTTTCTAGTTCCTGCATTAATGACATGCTCATCATGGGGACTCAGCTCATTGTTAGCAAAGGAAATTTATTTACCCATCGCTGCTTGGTGATTATCAGAAATTTCCATTTCAATTCTTTTTACATGCTGAATTCTATTAACAGGTATCCATTCAGCCACAATAATTCGTTCGTTTTTGCATTGGTATGGATTTATCAAATTTATGGAATTTACATGTCCGCTTGCTATAATGCCTCAACTGATACCTTTGCATCATCAATGATATCGCATGCTAATGGCCAAGTGCAGCGACTCGGAATTCAATTGAAAAAAGTATATTGGATGTGTGAACAGATTTATGTCCTAAATATTAGGGGTTGTTGTCCTTTCTGTCCATTCATGCATTCAAAGTTTAAAGCTGCTGCTTCCCATTTATTTTAGATTGGATACAGCAATGAAGACGAAACCATCAAAAAGAATGTAAAAGCACTCAAAAACAAATCAGCCATTGTGAGTATGATGTTTAATGCAATAGTTTGATAATGACTAATTATGCATTAATAAAGATTAGTGATGATGATGAACGTATGATTGAAATAAATAAGCAAATCAGTGCATTAAAGCGGAAGCATGGAGAAAATTATGGTGAAGTCATTCGATGCATTATTTATCATGAGGAAATATTAAAGTGAGTATATGACTGCATTTGACTTCCGAAATTATAGAATTTTGTAAAATATGACGCAGCATGAAGTCGTTATTGCAATCTCATGACTGTGTGCGAATGTTTGTGGCTTGCTAAATTTACTTTAAATCTCAGGATTAAGTTCCATTTATATAGCCTAAAAGCTTTAAGGGGCCGTTCACTTATTACGGTCGCATTTTAGGGGGGGGGGGGGGTTGAAAAATTGCAACAAAATGTAACATAGGGGGGGGGGGGATATTTAAAATACAATCATAATTTGTGGAAATTTTCAAAATTAAATCAATCATAAGTATAAAAGTAAATCAAAATAAAATAAATTATGAACGGGAGGGGTTGTGAGTTGTAACATATTGTAACAAGGGGGGAGGGGGGGTGAAAAAATTCGTTTTTTTGCGTAACGTAATAAGTGATTATATCGTCAAGCACTGCTAATTTAATATTTCTGCATCATTAATTCCAGATTCTGTGCTGAAATCCAAGATATCTTTCGAGGACCAATTTTTGCACAGTTGATGGCCTCAACAGTCATAATTTGCATGACATGCTTATTATTGTTGAATCAAATGGAGAACATTGGTGTCGTGGTTCCATCGCTTGTGTACTTATTTACGATGGTCACTCAAATCTTGCTATTTTGTTGGACAGGCAATGAAGTCATTTATTCGGTAATTTGACTAATTCAGTTCTAAAATTACATTTTTCCGAATCAAATTATTTTGATAGTCAACATGAAGTTGATCAATTGGGAAATTGGAATAAATGAGCATGAATTCACATCATTTAACCATACTTATTGCAATCTTTTATTCTTTTCTCAACTGAATAGTCTTATCGATTATCTGAAAAAGCATATTTCTCAAATTTTCAATCCTTTGATCGGAATACAGCTAAGGCATTGCTGATTTTCATGCAGAGGTAAATTTTCATGATTTCTAGAATTTCTCATGGGATGTAAAGTGCTTTTTATTGTAAGACATAAAATGTTCACTTAATGGGAAACATCTGAAGTCCATCAAATGCAATTTTCATATTGGCACTTATGTCATGAACAGTTACATGCACATACTTGCAAATTAGACTGTTTTACTTGTCGAATGGCATTAGTTGAGATTTTTAAAATGAAGTCAAGAAGTTTTCAATCATTTACGCAGTGCTGATTGTGTAAATTTTGCTTTCAGATCATCTAAGGACATTGTATTATCTGCTGGTATAATTTTTGAAGTTCATCTTAGTTTGCCGGTATTTATGGGCGTAAGTTGTTCATCTTGTTTTGAAAGTTATAGCTCTTAATGCTAAAAATTGTTCCAAATGTCTATTTTTAGATCATGAAGTCATCTTACTCATACTTTGCTGTTCTGAACAGTATGCAGAACAAATAAACAAAATATTATCAATGACAAGGCATAACACATAGTCAGGAACTCCCAAAAAGTCGATATTTGAAAGAAATGGTCATAAAATGACACATGGTAGACATCACATCCTCATCTTAAGTATCATTGAGAGAGGATTATATTCACAAATGTACACTACAATGATATCATAATAAATGCAAAAGACTGCACCGGATGAACAAGATAATTTTTTACTTCTATTGCACTCATCTCTTCCATTGTACTTACAATCCATTAATGTTAAAATGCTTGGAAGGAACTTGTGTATGAGTTAAAAACATTAATTCCTATTTGTTTTATATATAAAAGTTGCAAAGTTGTGGTGAATATTCCAGATTTTCTCTCCTGTATATTATGGAACATAAAACTATCATAGCTATGCTAATGAGCGGGATTGTTATAAAAATAGCATCAATTTATTGATTTTCTCCAGCATAAAACTATTGATGCTTTTACAATGATGTTCTTTCTTCTCTGTCATGCATATTGGAATTAAATGAGAAAAATTAATGTTAATGAAACTGTGTGATTCAATTAAGACAGTATCTCAGAGTTAAAAGTTCAATTGACATTTCGAAAACATGAAGCTATAGTATTCAGAAAATGTCTCAATATGAATGTTAAGGAACATTTCCGATAAAAGAAATCTAAATCGCCTTTCCTGAAACAATTTACATTGCTATACAAATAATGCGTTGTTTTATGTTGATTACTTCCTGTCGTTTAGAACATTCTCGTTTAAAAATGTGGTTAACTATAGCATGCAACTAATTGACAGTTAAAAATCTATAAATCAGCTATTATAAAACTGTTCTGTTAATGATTTTTAATTTAGATTCACACGACAACAAACTTTTCAAAAAATCAGGGGTTTCTTAAGGAATTCCTCAATAGAGCGTCTCATACAAATGAAACTAGCGTATCAGGTAGAAACCCAATACGGAAGTATTCACACCGTACCATCAAATGTCTTGTGGATAGACCAAGTTTTGCCCAGCATTAGTTTGAAAATTAGTATAAAGTTTAACGGATAGACCAAGGAGCTCCAAAAGCTACCTGGCGTAGAACCGTGATGAAATAATGCCTGCTTAACGTATGAACAGAGAAACTTTACAAAATATTTTTAAACCCCTCGTACCTTAGTCAGAAACTATATTTTGAACTTTCATACTATTTCGGATCGTTTACCTTACCCCATAAAAGTACACAATAATGACAAGCTTCTGAGACATTTTCAAATATTAAAACTTGTTTTGATTGTAAATCCGCAGCACCTGACTCCTTTTATTACACCTTAATGTTAACTTTCTTGAGTAAGGACAAGCAACAATAATTATAGCATGTCAAAATGGGCGTGAGAATTTTAATTGAAAGTACAAGATTACCAGTTAATTATTTAATATTTGCCAAGAAAGTCCAATGCCATTCTTTAGATTCTTGTTGGAAATATTTCAAAAGAGAAATAAAATTTATAATACTTTTTGGATAAAGATAGGCAGCAATAGAGAAACAAAAGTGCTATCAAGTCTAATATGTAAGCAAAAAGGACACAATCAAAAAGGATTGGATGGATGTTATGAAATATGCAAAATGTTTTACCTGCCTTCAATTCATATTTTCTAAATAAAATAAAAGGATGACTTTTTAAAAAAGACATGGAACTATAAAAGATACCGCACATGAGGTTTCAAAATTCAAACATTGGAAAAACTTTCAATTCTACGGTTGTGCTTTCTATCCTGACATAAAAACAAGTTATTATGGAGTCAATGTATAAATTGTGAGAATTGTGCCTTAAATTTTTATCATCCTGTGCTTTTTGGACACAATTTAATTAAGAAATTTATTTTTATCTTCATTCTTCCGCATTGAAGCTTTGTTGGACCAGTAAATCCCAAAAATCCCGCAAAATCATTCTTTTTACAGTTGTGGCTACTAAAGAGACTCGGTCTTTGGGCACCTGAGACTGAAAATCAATTGATTCAAACGTTATATACATTATGGTCGTATTTTTATCGAGGCTTCTTCCTTTGGATCTATACTCTGACGCAAATCATGTTTTTTAAAGATGTTGAGGATATGACGGTGAGTAACTTATGTGAAATCAATTTTATCGGATAATCAGCTTTTTGTGATTAAGAAATTATTGAAGACTTGAATATTATGGCTCTAAAGAAAATGATCGAATTTCATGTTTTCTTCTCATTGTGTTGTTTGAAAATTGAGGATTTTTGCGATTCTAGTTCCGAAAGTTGACTTAAATGCAACTTATAGTCTTAAATATTTAATAAAACTCATTAATCCACATCCAGTCAACATCCAGTAAGCTTTAAGCAACTTAATCGTGTTATCGCGCATAAATAAAGTTAACAAGTTTCTTAAGAACTGAATCTTCAATTCATTGATTGATGACCTATTTCAATTCCTCTTATACTGTTAAGGATGTTGCCGAGGGTTTCTTTCTACTGTTGACGCAAATTGCATTAATATACAAGGTCGAGATGTTTTACAGAAATAGACATAGAATAAAGGCTTGTGAAAAGCTTTTAAGGAGCACATTATTTCGTCCAAAGGATGATGAGGAAGATGCGTGAGTCTAAAACTTTCTTCTTGTTTATTCGATACATTTGTCCATGAAATATTTATTATTCTAGCGTAATTAAAGAATCGATGATATTGACTTTTACGTTTGGAATGGCATTTTTGGTTCCTGCGCTTATAACAATAGCATCGTGGGCAATAATGCCGTTCCTGGATGAAGAAATGCATTTACCAATTGTAGCTTGGTAAGCAAGAATTTTCAATTCACACGAATTTTGTTCCTTCACACTTCCTTTATTTCCAGGTATCCATTCAGCATCGAGCGTCCAATCATATTTGTAATGACTTATTTTTACCAAATTTATGGAATTGTTATGTCTGCTAGCTTTAACGTTTCAACAGACACCTTTGCATCATCAATGATATCACATGCTAATGGCCAAGTGCAACGACTCGGGATTCAATTGAAAAAAGTATGTTACTTAGTAACATCCACATGAACATACAGCTTTTAATTCCTTGTTACTTTTATACTCTCCTTTCACATCCATTGTAGATTGGATACGATAATGGTGAGAGCATTAAAAAGGACTTAAAAATACTTAAAAATCAGTCAGCCATTGTGAGTATGAATAATCAATTGGAACAAGCTACATGAAAATTATATAATGCAATAGTTTGACAAGAGCTTTTTGTGTGTATTATTATGTGCATAGTTTGTGGACGACGATAAGCGTATGAATGAAATGAATAAGCAAATCAGTGCATTAAAGCGGAAGCATGGGGAAAATTATGGTGAAGTCATTCAATGCATTATTTATCATGAGGAAATATTAAAGTGAGTATATGACTGCATCTGACTTCCAAATTTACAGAATTTTGTAAAATATGACGCAGTATATAGTCGTTATTGCAATCTTATGACTGTGTGCGAATGTTTGTGGCTTGTTTGATTTACTTTGAATATCAGTATCAAGTTTTATTTAGCCTAAAAGCTCTTAACGACTGAATCGTTAAGCACTGCTAATTTACTCTTATTGCACCATTAATTCCAGATTCTGTGCTGAAATTAAAGACATCTTTAAGGGTCCAATTTTCGCACAAATGGTGGCATCGACTGTTATAATTTGCATGACATGCTTCTTATTGGTCAATCAGATAGATCACATTGGAGCTGCTTCTTCATCTGTTTCCTACTTATTAACAATGGTTACTCAAATCTTACTCTTCTGTTGGATAGGCAATGAAGTGATTTATTCGGTAATTTGTTAGAACATAAAAAAACGAGCATGAATTCACATCATTTAACATTCCTTCTTCCAAATCTTTTATTCTTTTCTCAACTGAATAGTCTTATCGATTAACTGAGCAAGCATATTTCTCAAATTTCCAATCCTTTGATCGGAATACAGCTAAGGCATTGCTGATTCTCATGCAGAGGTAAATTGTTCATGATTGCTTGAATTTCTCGGGGGATATTAAATGCTTCTGGGCAAGATCAGAAAAAAAGGGAATAAATATTCAAATTCAGATTTCTCTGCTTTTAATAACTTAATTAATATGATTCCTTCACTACATGATAGCTAATAATAGTAAGTTTCTTTTTAACATTCATTTTTCAAAATGGCGACTTATTAAGTTAGTTTAATTAACAAATTAATATTTGAAATCGATTTTTCTTTGAAAAGAAAGCAAGATAAATGTTTGGAAGCTTGACAAAAGTTGTAGAGCTTGCTTTTTTCTATCATGTGATCAAAATAGATTTTATTAAAAATGAGTTATTTTAGTTAAATTAACTGAAAACCAAATTGAATGTAAAATGTATTTTTAAATCAAAACTATTAACCTTAATCGGTCAAGAACAATTACTTGATATCTAAAGAGTCTTTTACTATTTAATTTACATTCGAAAAAGGCTTAAAAGTAAGTTAAATTAACTATAAAAACAATGAAATTTAAGTTGAGCAACAAATTTTGCTCTTATTTGCTCACAAATTTATAATTTTAAAAACCGTTACAAAATTTTTGGTCAAATTTTTTACTATAATTTAATTTTCTCTGCTTGTCTTGAACAAAAAGTAATATTTCTTTTGCAATATGATAAACATTGTTGAGTTCTATAGTTTGAAATGAAAAAATCAGTAGACGAATAACACAGCAATGACTTATGACTAGTTTTGTAAAACTCATCATAACTTGGTTAATTATAGTAAAATTGAAAATTTTCTCTCACAGACTTAAAGAAAATTACATATGTAACCTTTTTTCTAAAGAAAGATAGTTCCTAAACTATTTCCTTCATATCAAAATTTCAGCTTCAACATTTTAAAGCTTAATTAAGCTAACTTACAAATCCGCCATTTTGTATATTTTAGACAAAACTTTTAATGATCTGATTACTTAATTATCAGGTGAAAAAATCGTTATGATTAATGAAGTATTCGCAGAGATATTACATTTGCAACATGGTGTAAAATCGAATTTCCTCAAAATTGTTCGTGACGCTTAGCACTTTAAATTAATTTTTAATTATAATACAATGTCTAAGAGATACTTGTTATACACCAAAATATAGGTCTTGGCAAGGACTTTAAGAAAAACACAAGTCTTAAATACATATTTCGCATTATTGATTCAAAAATTGTAAACTATTGTTTAGCGTCACGAACAATTCATTTTTGATCTTGCCCTTCTAGATTTGGGGCCGTTCACTTATTACGTTACGCAAAAAAACGACTTTTTTTCACCCCCCCCCCCCCATCCCCCTTGTTACAATATGGTACACCTCACAACACCCCCCCCCCCCCCCCCCGAACGTTCATAACTTATTTTATTTTGATAATTTTTTATAGGTAGTTATTAAGAACATTTAAATTTTCATTAAAAAGGTAGAAAATTTAAAAAATGTTTTTGGTGTGAATTTGTAAACAAATTTTTTTCGTGAACTTTTTTTTGACACCCCCCCCCCCCCTTATGTTACATTTTGTTACAATTTTTCAAACCCCCCCTCCCCCCTAAAATGCGAACGTAATAAGTGAACGGACCCTTTGTTAAACTATCTTTATCGATATATTCACTTCTAGGTCATCTAAGGACATTGTTTTATCTGCTGGGGCTATTTTTGAAGTTCATCTTAGTTTGCCAACATTTATGGGCGTAAGTTGTTCATCTTGTTTTGAAAATTACAGCTCTAAATGCTTACTTCTGTTCCAAATGTCCATTTTCAGATCATGAAGTCATCTTACTCATACTTTGCTGTTCTGAACAGTATGCAGAACAAATAAACAAAATATTATCAATGAAAAGGCATAACACATAGTGAGGAACTCCCAAAAAGTCGATATTTGAAAGGAATGGTCATAAAATGACACATGGTAGATATCACATCCTCATCTTAAGTATCATTGAGAGAGGATTATATTCTCAAATGTACACTACAATGATATCATAATAAATGCAAAAGATTGCACCGGATGAACAAGATAATTTTTTACTTCTATTGCACTCATCTCTTCCATTCTACTTACAATCCATTAATGTTAAAATGCTTGGAAGGAACTTGTGTACGAGTTAAAAACATTAATTCCTATTTGTTTTATATATAAAAGTTGCAAAGTTGTGCTGAATATTCCAGATTTTCTCTCCTGTATATTATGTAACATAAAACTATCATAGCTATGCTAATGAGCGGGATTGTTATAAAAAAAGCATCAATTTATTGATTTTCTCCAGCATAAAACTATTGATGCTTTTACAATGATGTTCTTTCTTCTCTGTCATGCATATTGGAATTAAATGAGAAAAATTAATGTTAATGAAACTGTTTGATTCAATTAAAAGCAGTCTGTCAGAGTTAATAAATTGAAGCTCATGCTGTTCAAATAGACATTTCCAAAACAGATTTTCAATTTATTGGAGTGAAGATTTTTAATGAAATTTATTTTACAATTACCAGACATTCTTGTTTCTGCTAATTGCTTTCAATATGATCATACCAGGCAATTTTAATGTGTCGATATCCAACGTTAATAGAACAAATTAAATGATTATGAACAATATTAAAATTGTAACAGAATTTTTAGATTTGAATTACCTTCATAAAGTTCAAAATATATTTTTAAACCTAATCGACTTGATTGCTATTTACAAATCATTTACCTAATGTTTTTGGAATTGACCACTAAGGTCCTTTAAGAACCAACCAACCTTAATAGTAATAAACACGAATGGATGAATAAATTAACCATTAACTCAGTGAATGTCAATGAAATTCAGGAAAACAAGAAGCTTTAAAAAAAATCTAAGATTGAATAATAAAAAGCAATTGTGATCCTTGAAGGTCTCAAAGTTATCGACAAAAGAATGCGTTATGTACCTCATTTAATACATTATGAATTCTGTTATTTCCTTTCTCTCTCTCACATGGATATAGAATTTCAAATTTTGGCTCATAATCATTAATATTATTATATCTTGTGGCAAAACAACAAACATTTAAATAGAAAATGAATAAAAATTACAAAATAATTTCTCCCTTGTTCTGTTAGTGACGCAGAACTGCTTTTTTGTAGCAAAATTTAAATTTTTTGTGTTGCTATTTTTAAAGCAATTTCTTTTTGTTTTGTTTCATAAGTGAAAATAGAAAATAAAATGAAAATTATATTCAAAAGAGAGGAAAATAAATGTTTATATTTTCTTTCTTATTTACTATTCACATTTTATGCATTTATTTGTCTGCTTATTCGACTTTTGCTTCCTCTGAAAATGTATTGAATTGTTTAGAATTGTTTTTTTTGCCGTTTGTTGGTGAAAAATTGGATGAACTAGGCAATAGTTTACGTTTCAAGAAATAATGATATTTTTTGTCAGAAAACAGAAGTCATGAATTGAGCAATAAAGCTTAAAATCGGTAAGAACCAAAAACATTTGTATAGTTTTCATTTAAACTTTCATCGTCATTTATAGCTTTTCAAAAAAGAACAATGGATTTCCAGAAATTACTATTATTCTTTTTTTGCTGACCCCCCCCCCCCCCCCCCCCCTGGACGTCATAAGTGAACGGCCCCTAAACTAATTTCCTCAATTACTCAATAATAAGCCTTGAAAAAAATCAATCATCAGCTTATCTTCAAACGACATTTCAAACTCATTATTTCAATTTGACCAATAAATTATATGTCAACAAAAAATAGACGAAATCACGATAACTTACTAAACTAATAGCGCCACAACAATGAACGATTTCTTAATTAGATTTAGTCTTTAGTATTTAGCCTTGAGCTGTTTTTTATGACAGTTCAATAAGTTAATTTGCAAAAATTATTGACATTCTTTATGTTCCATTAAAATTGATATTTTAAAGCTGAATTCATTTAGCACACAGCATACAATCATTGCCATAGCTGAAAATCTGATATTGCAACAAAGTATGAAGACAATTAATCTTCGAAAACCATTTGTCTTGTTATTCATTGGCTTTTGTGCTGTTACTTTAATCGTAAGAGCTATGAGCACATGCTTAAGTACTGTGAGACATGACCCACAAAAGAGAATATTTTTTGAACTTCTTATCATCGATCCTTAATGATTTTTATTTGATTATTTAGGCCTTGAAATGTTTAAGCAAAGCGTAAGGAAATTTTCATGTCACTGGCTGTCTTGCAATTGGATTAAAATGAAAAGAATAGCAAAATTAAGTTTGGAACCTCAAAACTTTCTCACAATTGCAATTCAGTGACCTTAATCCTTTCAATAATCACACCCTCCACCCCCTTTAAAGCTTCCTCATGAGTGGATCATCGATTTTAGTCGACAGTAATTTCACCTCATTCATTTTTCAATAGCTCATAAAATTTCATGACACAGAAAATGGAGGAAAAAGGATTAAGAGTGCATAAATGTAAAGAGCACGTTTCAATAAACACTTTCTTGCTGTGTACTATCTTAATGGTACATTAAATGTTATCGCCTCTTATTCTACATTTTTCTTTCCTTTTATTTCTTCAGTTCCTCATTTGCTTATGATGATGGAAGTGAAAATTTATGCTTTTATGCAGAATAAAAAGTAGGCAAACTTGATGAATTGCCAAAGAAAGTAATATTTTTTGCTGATTAAAATAAAAGCTCTTGAGCATGAAGAAACTGATGGATATTACAAAAAAAAATTATTTCTGGTACCTTAATTATACTTTTGAAAATTAAAAAATGCAAAAAATAATCACTGTTTCCGCCCGGTCTCGAACCGGGGACCTCGAGTGTGTTAGACTCGCGTGATAACCCCTACACTACGGAAACGACAGCTCTTGAGCGAATCGACCAATAACGATTACACTTTATTGATATAAGATTTGGAACAGCGACTACTTAAACCTGTAAAGCAAAGAAACAGAAACTGGATTTTATTGTAGTCAGAAAAATATTCGGTTTAAATCTCCTCAATTGCGATAATCAACAATACTCAAATTTTACTCATTTTTGTTCATAGAGTTTTAAATCATTTTGTCGGAATCAAAAACCGCTGAACCAAAACATGTTCATGTTCCTTAATTCTAAATTCACTGTCCAATTTTTAAAAGCCAAAACTATTTATATAGAAAGCACATAGTGTCAGTAATTCTTTGATTATCTCAAATCTCAAACAACTTATTTATGATGTGCAATGTCAAACTTTCTATGTTTTGCAAACACGAACGGCCTGTTTCACTAAAGTGGATTATCCTCGATTTCGGATTATCCACTTCAGTTTTTTGGAAATATCTTAAACTTTATGGGAAGTGTGGTATTTCTAATTTTGGATTATAATAGAGTGAGCTATGCCTGAAATTTCTGTACACTTTAAACTTTTACTTTCCGTTAAGAACTATGAATTATTCAATTTCCTAGCCAAATCTAGTAGATTAACTTCAATTTTTGCTATAATTCTCAAACTAGTGAAGATATAAAAATTCCAAGTATATGTAAATTTAAGTAGCAAAGTACTCTTGCTAGATCACACATTACATCTCTTAATAACCTTAAGCGTCTGGCGATATTTCCAAAAAACTGAAGTGGATAATCCGAAATCGAGGATAATCCACTTTAGTGAAACAGGCCGGAAGTGATAAAGTTTTTCTTTTGCATTTTTACCCACTGTGGATATTTTTGTGTGCATAAAATGAAGGAACGAATAGCATAATTTTCGCACCCAATACAAAAATTTTCACATAATAAATAAAATAAAAATATTGTTGTACAATTTTTATTTTTATTTTTTTTTTTTTGTCATCTAGGTCATGAAACTTTATGTACCTACGAAAATTTCTTTAGCATAATTTTTAAAGAGTTTTGTGAGTGATAAAGTCAGATTATGACATCAACCTCCAATTTGTCGGTTATAATTTGCTTTAAAATTATTTAAGGTAGTCCATAAGTTATCAAATATTACTCAAGAGCTTTTTTTTTTTCGATAATTAATAATATAACGGAATGAACTAAACTTTATTAAAGTTTAAAAACAAGTTAATCAATTTAACGTCCTTTTAAAGTTTGAAAATGTGTCATGACTAATAATTGAGTCTCTACTAAAATTCAAATCTTTAAACCGTTAAAATTTCAGACTATTCAAGATCTTTGACGCTCAATATTTAATCTTAAGTAACATTCCAACTTCATTTGCATTATTATTCACCATTATGTGTTATAACAATAGTGGAAAATAACATTTTGATATAATTTTAATCACGCCGCAAATAAAAGAATTTTGACGACTTCATTTCTATCTTTTTTCATGCCACTATTGTGATTAAAGAACACTAGAACAGTGTAAGCATAATGGAACACGTACTTTGAAGATTATATTCAAAACATTTTCAACACTCCACAAAGCTTAAAACTCATCACAACTGTCATACGTTCTCATTATTTCGGTATGTGGATATTGAAGTTCTTTTAACATTGTATCCAAAATAAAGAAGAGAAAAATACTCAGGACCTGCTTAAATCTATCCCGAAAAGCAAAAGTCGGTTGATCTAGTAGAAAACTGGCACCAAGCCGGTGTGACTCACTCTGGTCCCAAGCCATGGATTTAAATCGATTGAGAACTATGCTAGAATCACACCATCTAAGATACGGATTTCTACTCGATTAACGGACGTGTGCTATTCGGGTATCTTTTTGTTGTATCTATGTAGGATTTACATCTACATGTGGATATATGAAATCATTTCAATAGAATGTAAAGGGATCATGAATTCTATGTGTTAAAAGACCTGAGGCAAATGTGTTGAATAATTTAAATTAGAAAGTATTATCTGATCTATTAATGTATGTTTATAGGATAAGGGAGAGGGGGTCTAAAATTAAATTTTTCTAAAGACGTCATTTTTAAATGTTCCCTTGTCGTTTTCACTTAATAATTCCATGAATAATATACATGTATATTTATGACAGCATAATTGGATTCGTGAATTAGTAATGTTGTATGCTGATCATTTTCAGAATCAAACAATTAAGCCATAGCGAACAGCTAGTAACAGTCAAAT